TTTACCAAACTACACGGCATTTTGATTTGACGACGACCTTTTCGCCGTTCACGCTTCACCATGCATTTTTGTTTTATTTTTTAATTTTCTCTGAAAAGTTTTTTTTTTTTGTCAACGTCATTATTATTATTTTTTTTTGTGAAAAGTTGAAAACAAAAAAGAACAAAGAAAAACGTCATCAATTTACCATTCAATTGACGTCAGCGTTACGCTAAATAAAATTAAATCATCCAATTAGAAAAAAAAAACTAAAAAATTCCAACTCGTTTAAGATCGCAAAAAGGAAAATTTGTTTTTTTTGTATCTTGCCTATGTTTACCGATTATATATATTATTTGACCGAAATTGAATTTACAATTCCAGAAGACATCATCATTCCACGAAATGCGCCATTATTTCTTTATGTGCACCACAACAAAAACAAAATTGAAAAAGTCCAACTATATAAACAAAATTGACTAATCTTCGTACATTTATACAATAAAGTACTCTTTATAAATCTATAATTCAGATGGGTCTTGTGTTGTGTGGAGTTGTGGCACATAACTACTTCCTGGTCAAGTAAGATCTGATTTTCTTNACTGAATCCAAATCCTCGCAATGACTTGTTAAATTTGTTATTCATGTAAATTGACTTCTTATATAAACCAAACGAGACAAGTTATGAAGAATATGTTCCCTTGTTTTATACTAGCAAGAAAACCCAAAAACCATTTTACTACATGTCTCTGCTTATCCAACATTATACTTAGAAGATATATGACTTTGTCATTGTTTGATTATTCTTGAGCAATTGATTAACGGTGAACCAATTTTGATCTTTGGCTTATTTTATTATGTTGAACTCCTGATGAGATTGGATTCAATATCACCACAATGAGTTTTATATGATACAAAAACTAATCTCTGGATGTCTCTCCATTCTAGAATTACCAATGATTAATTAATTTAATTCACCCTTTGGTAGTTACTTGCCGAGAAAACATGTAAGAAGGAAAAAAGAGTAATTTACCAAGTTTTA